TCTCTGCTGTTGTCAAGTCTTGCCATTAGCTGATGCCACTGGGGAATCCTACCCCAGTGAGGTGGGCGTCCCTCGGGAACATCAGGCACCACGTTACATTCAGCCGCCACTCATGTGAACCCAAACATGTGAGCATAATTTGGAAAATATCATTTATACTCTGCGTCTTTGTACGTGTCTTGACATTTACAAACTGCGATAAAAACCGACACGAGGGAGGAGGGAATAGAAAACYGGGCGAGAATAATTTGAGGTAATGTTTTGCTTAGTGAACAGTATTACCCAATCCTGGATGTTAGAGCACTGGGAAGGAGGTTTCTGGCTCTGGGGCTGCGGAGAGGGTCTGGGTTTCATTTTTTTCGGCAAGTGCAAGCCAAAGGAGAGCTGCCAAGTGCAGCTTTTCGCTCTCGACACTTCCTGCTCTTCCTACTCTGGCTCAAAAGGAGACAGGCTTCACTCAAACAGCACGTCGACCTGAGCAGAGGGGGTGGCCAGTTTATTCCCCTATTTCTCAATGGGCGTTAAAAGCTCACATCTGTCTCATGGCTTCCACGGAGCACGTCCATAAATAAAACATCAAGCTGGATATTTATTAAGCCAAATGTAATTAGGTGTTTGCAGGTGTTTGCATGCATGCATAAATAGGGTACTTCCTGTGCACTTTAACAACTTTAACTGACTCACTGTAAAGTAAAAAAAACACAGCAGTGCAAAGTCTTAACCTCTGTGCAATGGGGGAGGGATCTAATAAAACCCAAAAGCAGTGACCCTATCCACTGTATCATTTTCAGTAAAAGCAGTTGGAACGCTACCTACTAAGTGCCACCCTAATTGCCCCTCTTCAGATGCAGTGAAAACGTCATTTAGCTACTTCATAAACAGACTTCTTTTTGCAGGTTATCGAGGCAGCTGCTCAGTGAAAACACACCCCTTTTTTTCCCAATGCTGATGTGCAATTAAAATGGTTTTAGAAATCCTCTTTGACAGTCCAGGGCTTAGCCAAAAATGTAAATGACATTAAAGGAGACAATGAATTTAATTTTGTTTAATGTCCCCTTTCGCTGATTCTCATTTACATCACATTTCCACATAAAGGGCTGACCTTATAAATACTGGCATTTGTTCAGCTTTTGGAGRTAATCACGCTTTTGCAAAAACCAGATGGGAGCGCGCAAATTCTCCGATTTGTTCCTTAGAAGGCCGGGGGAGCCACACGCGAGACGTTCTAAGGCTGCTGTCTTTTGTTCCTGGTAAACAACTTGACAACAAGTCAAGTGCACTCTGGGAAATGACCTCGTAGGTGTTCCGCAAATGAACGATAACGCAAAGTCATTTAGAAAATACAGGTGCACTAATGAGGGACATAACAGAAAGCTAAGCAAAATTTACATTAGGCCAAAATTTAATTGCATTAACACACAAAACAGGTGCAGCGAGGCCTTTATAAATGAGCTAAATGAATAAAAGCCTCCCACTGCACAGCCATGTGTGCTGACCAAAAAAAAAAGTGGTGGTGGGGGGGAGACAAGGGGGTGGAAAAAATAAGGGGGAAAAACAAGTCAATGTCATGAATTATTCAGTGGCTGGGCTGCACTCCAAAGGTCAGTGCTCTTTGACCTTTATGACAGGAAGTGAAAGGGAGTGCCGTTGCCACTGGAAAAAAAATGGAGCTGACATGTTTAGCCTTCATCCGCAAACTATTTGTGAATGGCAACGTAAACTGAGACCGGATGTTTAACTCTGAACATACATTAAAACCAGAAATCACATGGGGAAAGCACACGCAAGATCCCACAGTCTGTCTGTCCGTCTCAATTCTGCTCGCGTAAATCGCCCAATCTTCCCAGAAGAAAACGTGACCTCTGAACCCCGACAGGCAAAATGAGTCATTTTCTCTCRTCTTTCAACAACATGCGCCGTCTTATTACAAAATCCATGCGTAAGCCTGGCCAGTGTTTCTACTCGTTCACACAAGAGAAGACAAAGTCAATATGCAGAAGAGTGAGGACGGATTCCAGACCAAAAGAGTCATCGTAAATTAAGTTATGTTCAGATGTACAGCGCGTGCACTGTAAATGGGAGAACTGTCTAATCAGATATTGGGTACCTCATCACTATAAATCTAAAGACTTTAAATTACTGACTAAATAAACCTACACCTCCAGTTACTTTAAAGCACCATTAACTTATAAAAGTGACATCTGTAGCGCTGCTGGATTTATGCAAACTGCAAAGAAATGCGCCCATAGCAACACCGCCACAATTAGTCTCTAGATGAATTTAATTTGCGCATCAACTAGCTGGATTTTTTTCTTCCTTTCTTTCTTTTTATATTTGACGCTGAGAGAAAAAGAGAATTTATTCTCCCAGACGAAATTGATTTTTCTGTAGAGCAAAATGTCTTCTCGCTTTTTCAAAAGATCTCGAAACTTGAGTCACAGCAATATACGAACGCCCCTGAACGCACTAAAAATAGGGCTTTTCTTCATCCAAAAAAATGAATATGAATAATGCATCGGCATCAAACGTAATTGCTGAAATATTTAAAGACCAAGTCGAGCTGAAACTTCGTGACAGCTGTTGGGCCTATATCTAACCAACTCTTTTTTTTTAAAGAGAATCCTTCCTCTTCAAAAATCTGACTGAAAATCTGTATCAAAACTCAGAGAGAAAATAGGGTAAACAGATGTCTGGCTTGACCGCAGGAAAATAGGACACATTTGGAATGATAAGTTTCCCAAACTCCGTTGGATATGCCAGATCCATGGGAACGCCAGTTAATGTCTCGCTAGATGCCAGCTAGCTGTGTGTGCTTTCCCCCCTCCTACCATCTGGGAAAATGTTACAGAGAACAAGCGCCATCAATGATTCACTCCAAATCTGTTTCTTAAGGTTCGGCCATGCTACTGTTTCTCTATGAAATGTGGCAGTGCTCGCTGGTTTTTATGCTGTAATTGTAGACAGATGAGACGTGCTTGATTCAACAATCAAACCTCTCCTCTAGGTTTATGTCACTCAACTGTGTTCTACTCAATTGGAAATAATCAGTTTCTGCCAGCAGCGACCGCAGCACAGGTGCCTCTAATGATGTGCATGAGAAAATGACAGATGTAACAGAAATGGCTGTAAAACAAGGCGGCTTAAACTGAAAGCTTAGCCATATGCACCGCAGGAAGAGTCAAGTAATTGCACTAAATAATGGTACAGTAAGGACGCCTACAGTGCGCTCGGGTCACRTCCGTAACTCTTGCTAAACTTTGCAACCCTTCACAGGCAGCCCTCTCTGCAGCCACTGGGAACCTGTGTGGGTCTGTTAGGGTGAGCTGACGGGCTCATAGTTACGACATGGAGACAATGGGAGGGTCTAATGAGGAACATATGCTTTTGTGTTTCAACAGAGCTGCTCATTGTGCAAGGAAAGGGATACTCCACTCCTATTCAGACTCGTCACAATGAAAATCCGAGCCCTCCCTGAGCCAGTTGAGCTTACAATATCCATCCGCTTCTTTTTACCCCAGTTCTTTTTTTTTCCCACCCCCCCCACTTTTTTTTTCTTGACTTTAATTCTACATGCATTCATTTTGCTCATTGTACTTAAGTTACACGCTTTGTCCGGCAGATTAAAGAAACAGTGGCGTGCGAAACTTTGAACCGTAAAAGAAAAAAACACACACACACACACACAAAAAAAAAAAGGCAACAGAGTGAACACAAAGCAAAAACATGAAAGCGGCGGAAATCCGGCAAAAGTGGACGTCTCAAGTTATCGGTTTTAATCTGCGATCGCGTCCCGTCTTTTATTGAAAGCTCCTGACTCATAAATTTAGAAACCCTAGCTGTGATGAGATACAGACACGATCTCCTTGCGTTTCTCCGAGGCCGCCATAAACAATATGTATAGCATTCAGCCACAGCAGCGGCGTAAACAATGTGCACACACAAAAAAAAAGTGCACACCGTGTGTCTGTCTGGCTGGATTCGTGTCCTCATCTGAGTGTGTATTATCGGCGTTTATCTGCATGTGTGTCTGTGTGAGTCTGAGTTCAGACAGCAGTAGCTCTGGTAATCCATCCAGGCTCCCAGGGCAGCCGGCTCCTACTTCCTGATGCATGAGAAGCCGCTGGAGTGGAGTGGCAGCAACAACTGCTCAGCCCTATTTGATTACTAATAAGAGAGTTGTCCCCTCTGTCAGATAGCAGGCATTCTCCGCTAAGCAAACAGTGATTCCGGCTAGTCAAACATTAGCATTGCTGTCTCTCCTACTACGTGGTGAGAGWTGCATTGAGATCGACGCTCAGACTAGACCCCCTACATCACCTCCCTATCCAGCACACACACATACACGGTCAACCTAAACAAACTCACAATGACCACGACTTATAGTTTTGACATCTAAAAAAAATAAAAGAAATATTTCAGCACCTGAGAAAAGCGCTTTTATTCCTCCTCTGTATATAGGAGATGCAACCTTCCTGCTACGTTTATCCCTTTTAGAACTAAACTTTAATGGCATCTTGCTCACAGCTACGTTGAAAGAGGAAAACACTCAGTGGAAAAAACAAGTWTTGACGTGCAAGCATCACTGTCAAAAACAAAAGACTAGGAAGCGAGCCAAATAAATGCAAAGGTGCCCAAGCTAATTAGAAGTATTCCCATCACGATCCTCTGGTGATTGAACCACCTGTGAGTGAACAAACCCTATCCAGGTGGTGACCGCCCCCTCGGTGCACAGGTACCTGGGAAAGACGCCCCTCAGCCGCTCACACAGCATCAGCCAGAGTTCCCACACCGCAAGCTGCAAAAGTCAGCCCAACTGGGCCGTCTGGTTGCACCGGGAAGGAACCAATTTGTTCACAAGCTCATCCATTTGTCTGCTCGAGCACTCAGACACTCGTCCGTTTAGTCGGCGTGACACTCAGTCATTCACTCACTTATTACCTGTTCTCACACACACACACACACACACACACACACACTGAGGATGCTGCACACAGTCCTACCTGTCAATGATCACCGGGTCTGACGGAGTCTCGTTCCTGTTTCCACAGCTTTTCTTGTCACAGCATCGGCTGCAGAAACATAAAAMGAAGTGTTTATTTTATAAGACAGGAAATAATTGTTTGAACATATAAAAAGAAATGCATTTACTGTATGCAGCAGAAGGGTTCTTATTTTAAGAGAACTGAGGGGAGGTGGGGGTGGGGGGGTCGCCGCAAAATTTCCTTCACTTAATTTATCTAATTCCACTGATGCTGATGGCTGATAAAAAATGGTGCAAACAACATGTTGTGTTGTTTGGCTTAGTGTTGGGAGGGGAGTGGGGATTGGGCCAGGAGGCAGGGGAGTCACTTTTCACAGCTTCAGCTTTTGTTTACCTCTAATTGCCAAGCTGCTATTTCTGAGGGAGATGCAAGGTGCCACCCTCAACCAATATTTCTGCAGGGCATTTATCAATTATGGCCTGAAAAGCACTAATCTATCTTCCAGCACATGCTTCAGCCATCTCCTCCCTAAACTTATAGCTTCAGCTGCCTGCCTCTTACTTCTTTGATTAGGACTCGAATCAAAACTCCCCCCAAAAAAAGAATAAATTAAACAAATACACCATCTCAGCTTCCATTTGAAAGGAAAACACAGAAACATATGTGAATAAGATTGATTTATGCCATATGGTGTGGAGGGAAAAACAAAACTTTTGTGCAAAATAACTGTCAGTCATCCACTTGCTATCCCTTATTTACAATAACGGAAACTAATTATTCATCATTTAAAACTAGTGTATTTATTACAAAGTAAATAAGTGTAAATATATGGTTTTATACAGGAGCAAAATGCACTTCCTCTTGACCAAAAAAAAAAAAAATTACCTCTACAGCACAACCATATTCAGCGTGTCACAAATAAGTGATGGATGCATATATAAATTGAGCGTGAGTGATGAGTTTATGCATGAAAAAAGACAAATCATTCTCTGCTCTTGGGTCTGCTCCTGCTCTAAGTTGAACAATGCACCGGTGCAACAAAGGGGAGGTTAACCGACAGTATCCAAATTCAGTGTTCACAAAGCTCACGCTGAGCTCAACAATAACAACAAAAGGAGTTTTTTCCTTTTAGTATCAGTGACACCGATGAATAAGCGGCTGCAACATGAGCGGTTGAGATTTTTTATGTGGTAAAATGACACTAAAAGGCTCGCTGATCAGTGTTGACAGGTGGGATCAACCGAGAAACGACTCAGTACTAAAAAGATTAAAGAAGAAGGAGTGGGGGGGAAAAAAAGATACATAGCATGCAGCATTTATGCAGAGCAGAATGTTATCTCTGACAGGTTTAAATACCGGCGTGCTGTTCTCAAAGCAAAATCACAGCGAACAATAAAGAAATCAAGACTTGTGTGTTTTGTCACTGGCTGTTTGTTATATAGWCAATTTCCCCTCCTCAATGAAAAAGACAGTCGGTTCATTTTCTCTGTCATATTCATATCAAAGTTGAATCAAATCAAATCAAAGATGGGGATGACAGCAGCTCTGTGTTGCTGCTGAAGGACCACAGAACAATTTAAACTGCTGCACCACATCACAAGTGTCAAACCTTATTGGGGGCAGAAGTGAATTTTATCCTTTTTTTTCTGCAAAAATGAAGAAGAAGGAAGAAAAGGTTGAAGAAATTTAAAATAAGCTTACCTGCACATAATTTCATGAGTGAGAAGAACTCTGCACATTTCTGGATTCTTGTCCTGACCTTCATAAACTATGGCCTTAGGAGCAAAACAACATGAAAATAATGTCAATCATGCCCCAAAATATACAGATATTTTTTGGAAAAATACAGCAACTATAAAATATTTTTTTGCACTTCATAAAAT